TTTAAATAATTGTGATATAAAAAGAAAATACCATTGAGCCCATTCTCATACTGTGAAGTATTAATGTTACTATTTTAATGTTATTTTATTAACTTAAATTTTTATAAATTACTTAGTTTTTACAATGACTAAATAAACACTGGAATATTAGCCGAAACATATGGATACCAAATATTTAAAATATTCATGCAATCTTTAATGATAAAATGTTAAATCTTTGTACTTAACTAATAATTATTTGATGTTACGTATGATATGGCAGGTTTGTTTGTCATATAAAAGATCTAAATGTAAATATTTGATATATCAATTAACTTTTTTAATGTAAATAGATGCATAATTCTAAGTCAGACATATTGCAATACATCAATAAACAATACTCACAATTAATCCTGATATATCCGAATATTTCTTTGCAGGCTTGAACGAAGGCAAAGCGTTGATTGAAGAATCTGCAATAATAACATATGTAGCTACTACCAATTAAAGTTTAAAAAGACAATTATTTATCTATCAACTTACATAAAACTGTATCCTCAGGCCACTTCAATGCTTTTTCAGAAGCTAGTATTTGTTTTAAAGACTTCCACACTTTTTTCTTGTTTCCAACTTTACTTGTATGCTCAAAGGTGGTTGATTTGAAACAATATTGTGGTTGCTTATCCGATGACATTACAGAGATAAAAATACCTACGTAACTCTTTAATAACAAAAATATAAATGAATTTGGAAATTTGTGAAGACTAAAAGGCGTCTTTAACCTATAAATTTGACAACTGACAGCACCGACCTGACCGACAACTGACAATCAATTCAACCTGTTGCAAACTTCACTGTTTTACCGGAATCGTATTTAAATTTTTGGTACACATTTAAGTTTTGCTCATGGCCGGTAATCTCGGAACAAACGTCTGTAACCCGAGTTTAGTTAGAGCCCCTGCCGCCGGTCGCGCTTGTTTTTTTTTTTTTTTTTTTTTTTTCACTTTGAAATCGAATTTGACATATGACAGATACTTAAATTAAACATGGCGTCCATTGTAATAAATTTTTCATGGAGAGATAACCTAGACAATATAATAAATGCTTGTTAGAGTAAAAAACAAATAAGCTGTCGAAGTGCATTGTTTAACGAAGAAGAAATACCAAGAAAAATGCATGTATTATGTAGTTCCAGCGAGAAACGACGAAGTAAAAGTAAAATAAGTAATAATATTTGCCGGCTTTCAATCTAAGTGAGTACTTTTATTAATATGCATACTTCGAATTACTTTCATTTGATTGTACTATTCTGATATGATTTTTCATTACAGTTTAATAATTCAGAAATAATTGAGACATTTAACTATATCAATACTAGAAATTTTAAGGTTATAAATAGACAGAGAGAATTCCTGTCAGCTCTCTGAAAGGTATGTTATTAAATAACTAAATATAAATTAATCTTGTTCTAATAATGTAGGATCATAACTAATAATTCTACATCGATTTTTTCAGCAGTATAAAAGGAAAATACGTTCAAATGTAAAATGTTTAGACGGTTTACTAAACACATTCACAAGTGTACAAGTATTGATATGAGATGAATGAATACACAGGAAAAAACAATAAGAATGAAGTCTGAAATGTGCTGAAATCTTTGCTGATCTCCCACTAATATTGAACAGTACGACTCGTAATTATATATTAAGTCAGTTTGGAGAACATACTAAAAACACTAATGATATAATCGTAAGTGAAAGGAAATTCTCAATTAATGGTGAAATTCTAGCTAGTGCAAAGGTTAATTTAGGTTTGGCTATGTCACAGGAAAAGTTTTTAAGTATTAATAATTTCATTTTGATATTACAAGAAATATTATTATCTGTGTTGTTTAATGATGATAAAGGGAATCACATTGTATAGATTTTCAGGAACTGTCAAATGACAGGCAAAGTATAATCATGATTAATGATAAAATTCTAAAAAGCAAAGGGATAAAACACCCTTAATGTGCACTTGCTTATTGCATTTGACTATTCTGAAAGAGATGTCAATAGCTTTACTCTAAAATGTCTTATTGTAGATGCTATAAGAAAACTATTAAGTACTGTTATAATAATATCAATGATTGTTGTTTTTCTTTAAGACAATGATAATAATGACATTTTGAACAAACATTTGAATGCACATTAACAATAGCGCAGAAAAGATTCCCAAATAGAGACTGTACATCATAGATATTATGTAACTTAATGTTAATCAAAATAAATATATATGTAAATATATATATATATATATATATATATATATATATATATATATATATATTGGTTATATATTGATCTGAATCAATATCAATCAAAGAATTGTGGTTATATATGTATATGTATATATATAAATAATATATACATTCATGTACATTTCTATTCTTTTGTGCTCAGCTTGAAAGGCTGATATGCTAAAATGATATTACACACACGCATATATATATATATATTATATATATATATATATATATATATATATATATATATATATATATATTATATATATATGTATATATATATATATATATATATATATATATATTTGTATATATATATATACATTGTGGATAGGGTGTACATTTAAGTACATTTTTATGCTTTTCGCACATAGTTTTTACAGCTTACTACCATCTATTATAATCATATATAATGTTATATATATATATACATTGTGGATAATGTGTATATTTATGTACATTTTTATGCTATGTGTGCTTTGTTTATAAAGAGAACTATGTAGATATAATGTAGAATGTTTTTGTGAAAAATAAATGCTTCAAAATTTTTTTTTTTCAATTTTTTTTTTTAAATTTTGAATTAAACGGTCCATATAATTTTGGTTCATTTCTATAGTATTTTTATACGCACCCGTTCAGGCGACTAGTGCCATCTGTAGCGCGGGGCTTCAACTAACACAGGAATGTGGCAACGAAATATGGCCCGAGAGAGCGATCTATATACTCTTCTTTTATCTATGGTTTTGCTAAAATGAATTGCAACCATACTAACTAATAATATTTATAAAAATATAAAGAAATTGTATACAATATCGTCACCTGGTTTTTAATACCAATACTTATTTCAGTTAAAATTTGATTTAAATTCAATTCAAATTTCGTGTACCGGTATGGTGTGAAGTTATCTTAATTAATTATTTGATAACAAACCAATGTCAAACAAAGGTCAATAAAGTTAATTCAATCTTTGCAACAAGTGCAAATACCGGTACGTTTATAAAGGTTCATTCCACATTTATTTATTCTAAAATATTTCTTTAATAAATATATCACGATGACGAACCGTAAATTCTGCGTTGGAGGTAATTGGAAAATGAACGGGGATAAAAAATCTATCAACGATATTTGTGCATTTTTGAAAGCCGGTCCACTCGACCCAAATGTAGAGGTAATTATAAAACATGTTGTATAATTTATAAATGATATAATACTGATAATTTGTTATCCATATAGGTTGTAGTAGGCTGCCCAGCTTTATATCTTGATTTTGTTCGAGCAAATTTACCTAAAAGCATTGGTGTTGCTGCCCAGAATTGTTACAAAGTTCAAAAAGGAGCATATACTGGTAAAGGAAAAAATAACATAAATAACCCTACATTAAGAAAAATTGATTGATATAGAAACATAATACAGTAATACCTTGCTTATCATCTTGCCTTAATTGATTTTGAACTCCTTTCAAAATATGCATTACTTAATCAAATTTGTACACAAGTCATTGTGGTCCCTATTGAAAGTTCTTCTTCGAAATCACTACAACCAATGTTTTTGCTTTAATATTGCTAGATTGCTTTAGATTATCATCAGAAATACCACCACTCACCAGTCTTTTAAACTATTTCTTCAAAATTTTTCATATCTACATTATCTCACCCGGTTCAATTCCACTATTTCTTCCATGATTTTATCCATATTTAGCAGAATCCCTGGACTAATCTGACCAAAGGCCCTTTTCCTTCTTTGTCTAACATTCCTATTGCCAGTACTCCTGTTTTTTCATACATTTTTTGTGTATTGTCCATTCCAAACTTCTGCTTCAATGCTTCCTGATTCTGCGTTTCAGCTTTCACTTCCATGTATTTCCCTTAAATCATCAACCACCTGCATTCTTCTCCTTTCCATACCTTTCAGTTCTTTTATTTCACCTTTGACTGCATTGTGTAGGAGTCATTTTTTTTGCAGAGTGGGTCCGATCCAGTTTTCTTTTTTTTTCAGGATCGTGTTCAGTACAAACTTTTTTCCCCAATCTTTGCAGGATTTCTTTGAAGTTTTCATTTGTTATCTTGTCTGTCCCACTATAAGCAGGGTATTCCTGTTATATATTTTAATAAGTTGCCTACCAATTTTATTCTATTATTTATACATATACGTATATATATATATATATATATATATATATATATATATATATATATATATATATATATATATATACGTGGTCTGTTCAAAAAGTACCCGGAGTTACTAATAATTAAATTTCGCGGGTCTGGAGTGTCTGATTGTCAAAATTTTTTTTTTATTGTGTTGGTATACATGCCCCTAAAGTATGATGAAATTTTCAGCTATATTCACTGTTTACTTTGTCTGTGGTAGTCGCTAAGGTTCGACGTGTTTTTCTGAGCTCGGCGATTTTTACAATGGAAGAATTGAAAAGTCAAAGAATTTGTATTAAATTTTGCGTAAAAAATGAAATAAAGTGTTGCAAACTGCAAAAATTCACCAGATATGGCTCCGTGTGACTTTTTCCTATTCCCAAAGTTGAAGAGACCCATGAAAGGACGGCGGTTTTCCTCGATTGAAGAAAATCGCTGAGAGTGCTCAAGGACATATCAAAAAGTGAATATCAAGGGTGCTTCGAAAATTGGAAAAAACGCTGGCATAAGTGTATTATATCTGGGGGGGACTACTTTGAAGGGGACCACATTAATGTAGACGAATAAATAAATATTTTTTTGAAAAAACGAAAATTCCGGGTACTTTTTGAACAGATATATATATATATATATATATATATATATATATATATATAATGTTACATAATTCTTCCTCCTCCAGGTGAAATTTCACCAGCAATGCTAAAAGATGTGGACGTTGACTGGGTTATCCTTGGCCATTCAGAACGAAGAGCAATTTTTGGAGAATCTGATTCCTTAGTTGCTGAAAAAGTAGCTCATGCTCTTGCTGAAGGATTGAAAGTAAAAAAAAAAATAGTTTACTTACAAAATGGCTCAATTCAAAGAAATACCTATTATTTCTATTATCCAGGTGATTGCTTGCATTGGAGAAACTTTACAAGAGAGAGAGAGTGGTCAAACTGAAGCAGTTGTGTTCCGACAAACCAAGGCTATTGCTGGTGCAATCAATGACTGGTATGAAAATTATAGAGATAAAATTTATTCAATTGTGTAATGATTTATTTTTTTGCAGGTCTAATGTTGTTTTGGCTTATGAACCTGTTTGGGCAATTGGTACTGGAAAAACTGCATCACCAGAACAGGTAAACATTGATGATAATAAATGACTGTTTGCCCAAAGGCATCAATCAAGTCAATAATGATTCTCCTCGCCTACCTTGATTATTATTCCCATTGCATTTTCCTTTCCAAACTTCTGCTTCAATGCTTTCTGGTTTTGTGCTTTGGTTTTCTATACCCTGTATTTTCCTCATATTCTTCCCAATTGCTTTAATGAGCCCAATCCAGTTTCCTTTTCTTTTAATGATCGTACTCAGT